TGTAAAATATGTGCAGGAATCTATTTTCTATGGTTATCTCAGGTGCTCTGCAACTGAGTAAGATTTATCTTTTTAAAGAAATGACATTGACATGTCTCTATTACTTGACCCACTGTGATATATGTAATCTGTTGCCAAAACATTAGAAAAATGTAAGGTGGAGGGAGCAAACACCAAGGTCAATAACAAAAGGAAAGACCGCAGACTAGAAATTTTAACCTTGGTTCAAATCCTGGCTTCTTGACTTGAGGAAATTAGTTAGCCTTTCTTAGCTTCTTAACCTCAGTCTCCTCTGATCACCCAAACTGCAACCAATCTCAATTCTTAGACTCCCTACCCTTCTCTATCTGTACCACTCAAATGGTATCTGTCACACTCTAATTGTATTAAGAGTATATCTAATTGTATTGGCTCATTCAGTCATTCATTCAACAAAAACTGATCATGCCTAGTTTAGGTTGTATACTCCCTTAAAAGCTGCATTTACAAAGATGATTAAGACAAGGTTTTTGTGCTCTAAAAGCATATTCTAGATGGAAGAAAGAAACATAAAAAAACATACAATGAAAGCATGATTATATGCCACAGTACAGGTACTGCAAGATGTTATGAAAAGTTCACAAGGTGGGACATTTGGGCTGGATCTTGAAAGATTAGTCTGGATACATGAATATCTCATTTATTTTATTGATTTGAAGGCAGAGGCCTCATTGTATCCCTCACAATGCCTTTATTATTGTAAATGCCAAATAAATATATATAGGATAAGTAAAAGGAATCCAAATTTTAAGCTTTTCATGAAGGAAAAATACAAGTCAGTTTCAGAAATATAATACAATTTTGTTCTGTTGGTAGGAAAAATAACTTCTTCAGGTAATTTAAATACATGTTAATAAAAAAATAAAATGAATTTAAATACTAATTTGAAAATAGAGCCTCTGAGACTCTTCTTTTGGACACCATAAGCCAGAATATTGTAACGCTAAGAGCTGTCATTGTAACAATAAGAGGATCCACTATTTTCTTCCTCAGTACTCAACGATATAGTTATTATTGTCTTTTGGCAAATGAGGGAACTGAGACAGAGAAGATTAAGTCATTAGCTCCAAATCACACAATTAGCACATGAATGGTGGCTGGACTCCATCTCAGCCCTGCCTGACTCCAGAGCCAAAGCCTTAGCTGCCAGGTGATACAGCATCACAGTCCGATTGTCCTGCACAAGAATGTTGGGGGAATCAGTGATAATGACAGCTACTATTATGCAGACAAGCACTATGCTGCAATAATGGTCATCTGCATTGTTTTAAGATAGTGGAAGGAAACCCGTTTGCTTTTCAATACTTTAGACCTCAGAAAATTCTTGATTTAATTTCAAAGACTCAAATATAAGTTTTCAAACATGAATCTTCCAGTGTTTAAATTCAAATTCTGAAATATAAGGTGTGCTTTAATTCTCCTTATGTATAATACCAAGGAATTAGAACCTAGATACCCTTACTATCAAAATATTTCATACTGGGTGAAAAAGGTGAAAGGAATTAAGCAAAAAACTGAGACACAGACCACAATATGAGAGAAAGGAGGGTGGGGTGTTATTGTCATAATTAGCTAATTATCAATATTAATAATAGGAAAAGAGCAAAGGGGAGACCAAGCATTATAAGCATGGTCATCTGGGCAGCTTCACAGGAAGCTGCAACTTCACATTCCCTAAGGAACCATCTGCCCATTCCCTGCAGATCACTGGAAGAAGGGGTCTAACAAAGGAGAAGATGGGCCCATGAGCAGTGAAATCAGGTGACATAGGGAAGGTGCTTGCCTGTCAGTCTAACTTGGGGAAAAGATGATTGGCTAGAAGGGTGCAGCCACTTCAAGCATGTGAAATCCTGAAGGATTAATTGATTAAGTTCCTTGTTATAACCCTGAGACAAAGAATTCTCTCTCTCTTGGGCTCCTGGTCCATTGTACTCTCTTGCTCCATGACCTGTACTTGCCCAGTCCACACGTAATGGACTGCAGTGGGAAACACAAGCTAAGCTAGCCAGATGCTGGACTGGACTGTGTTTAACATGGAGCCAAAACTCTGGGCAGTGGCTTTAATCCCAGCACTGCTAAAGACAAGATTGGATTTTTCCCATGGCAGGATGGAAGGTTATGGGACTTTGAAAACCCAGGGGTTTAATTCCACGGAAATAAATATCACTCATCCACCTACGCGAGTCTCAAAAAATTCCTCTCTTTGTGACATCCCAAGAATTCCACTTCCACTGGCAATAAGTGGGGACTTAGAGGTCACCCCACCAATAACAGAGGGAGATAGAAGGGAGTGAAGGGAGCATAAATGGTGATGGAAAGAGACTTGACTTTGGGTGGTGAACACACAATACGATATACAGATGAGGCATTATAGAATTGTACACTTGAAACCTATATAATTTTGTTAACCAATGTCACCCTGATGAATTCAATAAAAATTTTTAAAAATATTTTGTGTAAGGTGCTAGGTATAGCACTTTCAACGTCTTATTCCTGATCTTCCCTAGTGGCATTCTTCTCACTAAGGCCACTTCTCTGGGAGGCTCGCAAGAAAACAGCCTCCAGAAGAGAACACGGTATTTAGTAGAATCTGGAGAAGTGCATCAGACTTGTGTTATTTGAATTCCTCCTGATGGCTGCTGGTGTATTTTCCCGCAAAGGAAACCTGGAATAACCCATTGTCAGAGGTCAGGGAGAAACAAAGGGTGTCATGAAGAAGAGGAAAGAATAGAGGAAGGAAATGAGTGGCAGGAGAAAAAGAATGGAAAAGGCATTAGAAAAAGTGCTGTTCCTAGGCTTCAGCTTCTCTCCGATGTTTACAAGGCCAATTAGGGTTCATTTATAACAAAGCAGTGGAATAAAAAATGTATACATAGATCAAGGCATCAAAATCTTTCCCCTTTTGGATGGTCACCTTGGAATACACAAAAATTCATCCTGAATTACCAGCAAAGGTACAGCTGACCAGCCGTGGCTCATCTACACTTAGGGCAGAGATGCATTTGACAAGAGAGCAGGGCTTGAGCCTGTCATCTGACACCATGTGACCTTTACAACCTTCTAGTTCTATTTAGGCTTCCCATGTAATTGTTTTAACTAAAACCGCCATCATCACAGTAGTAGCAATAATTATAACATCACAAAAAATAACAGTAATGATAATAACTGAAATCTTTTGACATGGAAAACACACCATTTTTACAGACTAATTTCTGTATTTCACAGCAAAATTAATATATTTTAAGTTTAAAAAATATTTTCCCTCCTTACTCAACACATAATCAGTTTTCTAGCCTCCTTCACCCTGCCCCCTGCCCCCGTAGTCTCACATGCGCATGCACACACACACACCATGACCCTTACATCCCAGGTACAGACCATACTACCTTATCTATAATCAGTGATCTTCAATTTACAGAATAGTAGGATATACAAGGATTCTGAGCTCAGACTTATCTGGATTCAAATTCCAACTTCTCCTGAGCAAATCATGTCATCGTAACTACTCTGAGTTTGAGTTTCCTCAATCAGAACTGCTTTGTATAAAATACGGTGCCTCACACAAAAATGACACAGGGAGAAGTACGGATTCCATTACTTAAATGGAAAGTGACTCTACCATCAATAGAAAACTGGGGTATTTTTGTTATATGTCAATTATATCTCAATAAAACTGGAAAAAGTAAAAAATAAATAAGTACAATTTAAATATAAAAAACAGGGGTATTTTCTATATACAGGCACACCTCGTTTTACTATGCTTGACTTTATTGCCCTTGACAGATGTGCTGTTTACAAATGGAAGACAAGACCTTCTACCAACAAAAAGATTATGACTCGATTTATTACAGTGGTCTGGAATCCAGCCCACAATAGCTCCAAGGTATGCCTGTATGCTTGAAATGAAAAGATAGCCTTCCTTTCCTTAATTACCAAAGAAGTAATCTGCACATCTCTACATCAAGCAGGACTCCTGTTTCTTTTCTCCTCTCTAGGTCAATTGCCTTTTGGCAACTTGAACAAAAAGCAAACACACAGTCCGCAAAGCACATGTCAGCTTTAGGCACACTGATAAAGATATCATAGAATAGAAGGTTGAATTTAAGGGAAAAAATGAAGTTGAAGGAAAAGCATAGGTTTAAATTATTCAGGCTGATGATAATCTCCACTTCCATGGATACTCAAAAGCTGAGTGACTTAGACATCACTTTTGTAACTAACTGGCAAGACAGCCGACTTAAAACACAGCTCGTGCCTCTCTACCTGGAGTGTGGAAATCAATAACAGCCTGCTCTCCTCCCTGACCACCCAAATCACTAAGTGCTCTGGGTCCTTTATATGTTGCCCATCCTGAAAGGTCAATCTGATAACATGCCTGTGAGGTCCACAGAGGAGGTCTCCCATCTCCTGTAGGCCAAAAAGTAATTGCACACAGCAAAGAAACAGAAACACCCGAGCCCCAGTTGGGTGATATCTGACTGGCTGTCAAGATAACCTGAAAAAACAGGTAGCTGAAGACAGCAGAAAGCCAAGCATGCAAAAGGAAATCATCTGTGATTTCAAAGAAAAAAAAGTGAACAGAAACAAAACCCTAATGTCAGCTTCTTAAGGAAAAGCATTTTATCACAAGTTTATCCCTCCGTGCTCTGTTTTACCCCGAAAAAGCATTTATACATTTATTCCTTCACTGTGCCAAGCACTCAGTGCTAACAGGGTGCACAGTAGTTGATCCCATACCACTTCATTGCCTGCACTTCAGATGTACTTGTGGTTGACCATGGGAACCCTCTTTTGGGGGAACTGCCCACTCTCTGGATCTCTCTTCTTGAGATCTGGAACAGCTCAGTGATGGGCACAGTCCCCTTAACTATTTTTCCCCTTTTAAACCGAAGGTCCCTTTGCTTCCCCTTGTGTTCATTAAAGAATGAGCTTTGCAGAGTGAAGTGGCAGCACATTCATACCTGGTCTCTCAGCCTCTCCTGGTGGCCCATGATTGCTGTGGCATGATGGGGGTATTTCTGCTTTAGATGTTCCAGGAAAGCTTCTCTCTTCCTATCCATCTCAGATGTTTGCATTCCCAGTATTTCTTTGGAACTTCGGGGCCCACCTAGGGTGTGTCTCCTTGGGATATTTCGGGAAGCCTTGGAAACCGAAACTCGACTGTTCCCATTAGAAAGGCGTTCCTTGGTTCTGCGACATTCTGCATCTTCTAACGAAGTTACATGCAGATTGCTTTTTCCTTGTTCTGAAAGATAAAAAAAAAATAGTTTACAATTAATGATTTCACACTAGAAATCTCATTTACAGAACAATGAAAGGGTTTGTGGCAGCTGTTAATGTATGAATATAACTTAGCAGATTTTGTGTTTGTGTTTGTCAAGAAGCAAAAATGTCAACAATCGAGAAATATGAAAAATCACACTTTAGAAATAAAGATGTTGCAGCAAAAACTCTGCTCTTTCTGACTCTTTCTCTGAGGTTATTCAAAACGAGACACTTGGTCAGATGAGTTTGTAAGCAATTGGGTTAGCCCTTACCTTTACCTGTAATTGGAGAAAAGAACTCCAGTGATTCTGATTATTTCTTTATTTTTAATTCCATCATCCTGGTAACAGGATTTTTATATTTTTATATCTGAAGATGGTTTCTGAAACATTTGTTTCATCTCCAAGACCAAAAATAGCTCTTATAATAACTGACATGTGAACCACTTGCAAGTTCGATTTCCCCTTATTAGCATAAACCAAGCAAGCATAAGAATATTATTATAGGTGATAACTGAGAGGATGTAAAATAAAGGCTTGGACACATTTTACTGGAAGTGGACTTTTATCTAAAACACACAATACATGTCGAAGGCCTCAACCTGGCCTGAGACAAGTGGATTTCTACTTAGACCGGAGGCAGCCAATGGCAAGGCTCTGAGTGCAGGACTTGCATGGGGCCTCTCCATTCCTTCTCGGTAGTTGGCAAATGGGGTGTCAGGTTGGAATATTCCAGTTAACTGAGAAAAGAGAGTTACTCCTTTAAGAACCAGAATAGGGAGAGAAAGTAATGACCATTTGGAGGCACTTCAGGAACTCGCCAGGTTCTATCACGGGAGCCATTCTTAAACAATATTACAGATGTGGCAGGAAAATGTCCTTGTCCACTGAATCCCCTGGAAAAAGCACGGGGCTGGGTCTCAGGAGTCCTGCCTTTAATCCTAGGCCTGGAACAGAGAATTTGACCTCTCTCAGCCTCACTCTCTTCATCTACAAAAGGAGGATGCTGGACTAGCATTAGACATGCAAAGAGCCTTCTAGCTCTAAAGCCTTTCAATCTACTCTAAATTATTATTTTTTAATAAATTTCCAATCCGAGCTTCTTTGCCAATTACTTATCTTTAAAAGGTATGTGTAGAAAAAGAGATCCAATATTTGAGAGGTCTAGATGTGAGTCTCAGATAAACAGGGAACCAAACCCCCACGCCAGAGAGGTAAAGCGACAGGTGTCCGGACTTAGGTACACGCCAGCTCCTCTGAAGGCAATGCCACCACGTTTCCTCCTTCGCTGCCTAGAAACACCTGTGCACGGAGCTCTAGGCACGGCCGCCTTTGGTCAGGCATAGAGAATACTTTAACCTCAGGCTGGCTTTCCCGTTCCGGTCTTCCACCCCTAAATGCATGTTCTGGGAATAATTCTTGGCTACCCTTCACTTCTCATTACATTGCTAATTACAGCATCTCCATCAGACACTGACGAGAAAAGGGAGGGGAAAAAACAGCCCAATTAGTTCATTCTCCCACTTTTCATTAGTCTCAGCAGTAAATTTAGAAGGGAAGAAGATGGAACTATTGGTTTAAAAGACATTGGGAGATAAACGGTAATTTCATTGACTTTGCTTACCTGCTCATTACATGGACTCACATGATGGCTACCTTTTTTGTGGTATCCTCTTTGATAAGACAGAAGTAACAGAAACTATGGAATGAATCTAGATCCAGAAAATGCCGTATCTCAGGCTGGCAAAGGCGTGTGCAATCTGAAAGATTTAGCTTTATCCTTTGAGTATGCGTGTGAACATGAGTTTTCTATTACCTAAAGTTGTGTGTTTGACCTAACACTGTCAACTTTTAAGTGCAGTTTAAGATTACTTTTAACTTCATTAAAACAATATATTTTTAAAAATTATCCAGGACAGCAGGACTGAATCTCAAGGAAGGTGATTTCTTTACATGGGCATTGCATCCACATGCACCCATATTTGCGCCTGAAATACCAACAGGAGCAGAAAGTCCCCTTCCACCCTGCTTTGTCATGTAGACTCACAAGAACTATTCTGTTTCATTCAAGGCTCCTCAGAAGAGGCTGAGAGAGCCAGAACAGCAGCCCCTTGGAGACTGAAGAAGGTTTTCCACTTTCCCCTTTGAAATAAATCGGGAAAGGGGCGAGGAGGGGGCAGTGTGGAGTCAGCATCAATCTTCTGCCAGCACTCACCTCTCAGCAGACCCAACTTACTGACTCTCTAAACCCCACTCTTTGCAAACACTTTGCACTGGGAAGGTCACATCAACCTTTCGTTGCTTTTCCGTATTTTCTCTTTCTTACAGATTCCTCTAAAATGTCTCCAGTTGCTAAACAAGGCTTAATGTGATTTGGAGGAAAGCAGCAAATGGCATCGACGGTTCATGCACCGATGGCTAAGGGACAGTCCAAGTCTAATCACCTTCAGAGCCCACTCCTTCCTCCGGTCCCTCCTTTCCTGCCTTGTGCTTCCATCCAGCTCTCGGTCAGCCCCATCTGCCTCCATCCCACCACCAGGACCTGCTCCACAGTCACCAGCACCCACAGCAACCCCACACCACTTTCCACACAAAGCCTTTCCTCAGCAAGGCTTAGCTGGTAGAAGCTGCCAACCCCATGCTTGAGGGAGTAGTGTCACTCTACCACCCCAGTCATTTGGAGAGAAAGCGGTCTTTCAACTGGGGGGAAAAACTGAACAGGGATAGAAACAAACAAGAGAGACAAGAGAGGGAGCAGGCAGACAACGTTTTGTCACAATTCCACAGCCATGGAGTCAAGACTCTAGTCCTGCCAGTTCCCCATTATCCACATGAATAGATGATCCAAGCCATCCAAACAGAAATAGTTTTATTTCTTGTCCAGAATGCTTTGGTGCTAACATTTAAATGTGGGTGTGTCTAGTTGTTTGCTATTCTGGGAATCCATCTGAAACAAATAAGGAGACTGTAGTAAGAAGACAAGGCTTCCAGTTTCCCCTTCCTGCCCCTCCCAGCCTCTGCACAGCCCAGAGAAACTGCCTAGTAGCTCACATCAGAGCAAACAGCACAGCAGGAGCTCTGGGCAGACAACAGTCCCTCCTACATTCCCTGGAGCAGAGTGGGGACTGTGAGTGAAGTCAGGAGTGTTAGAGGGACGCTCTTCTGAGTTTCACGGGGCTTTCTGGCTGGGATGTACACATTCCGGAAGGTACGAGTAGAAAGTGAGGAATGGGGTGGATACCAAACAGAGGATTAGGGAAGATGGGTCATCCACACAGCAAGCTGTCCAGCAGGCAGGCGACCTTAGGAGCTGCCCAGGCCGGCTTCCTGGCAACAACTCCAGTTGTTTCAGCTGACCTGCAACAAGGAATTGGGGCCTTGTACATTACTCAGGCATTACACGCCTGCTGTCTTTCTGAGAGCCAGCAACAGGATTGACGGCTTCCCTGAGATTTTTTTTCCTGGGTCAAGATTAGGTAGGCCACAGACTCTTAGGGAAGGAGTCCCTCACTTCTTTATAGGGGCTCCTGGTTAGCTGTCTCTAAGATGTAGCCTTTTAAATTGTTTCTAGAGGCTCTCTTGTCATAGTAAACATCGTGGGGAGCTGCTGTTTTGTCTGGCTGTACAACCTATCCGGGCTTGTCGTGGCAGTGTTTTGTCTGTCTGTGTGTTCAAATCATAACATCCTCCCAGCGCACACATAGGAAAACTGCATGTTCCAGTCTCCCTCACCTAGTCGGGGCCTTGTACTAATTCCAATTGATTCAATGTGGGCAGAAGTGCCGTGGGCTACCTTTAGTCCTGGCCCCTGGACCTCCTGAATTATCTTCCATGTTCTTTCTCTTTCCTCTTTGGCCAGTTGACTGCAAAAGCTCCAGGGAGAGCCTCCTAGGCCTGGGGGAATGTCATCGTGACTAGATAGAAGGTGCCTGGGTCCCAGAGTCAGCCTGGAGGTGGGCCGTCCAAGAAATCCATCCGGCTGGGAACATTCACATTCTACTGTGTTTGAGAAATTAACCTTGATTATATTAAACTGCAAAGACTGTTGTTACAGCAATCAACCTATCTAACTAATATATATCATGTATTCTGTTGGGGGCCCACAGGACTCACCAGTTTTCTAGCTCCCTTGTTAGTGTCATAAAGATCACCATATACAAATTGGCAAAGAAGGTACAACTGAAACCAGGCCATTATATTCCTCTAAAAAAACCTTTAAACATTAAGTAAGTGAGGAAGAGGGCTTTTGGCATAGATTTTAGGCGAAACAGGTACAGTCCTTTCCTCACCCAGAAAAACATTTTATCTCAACTGTTGGTTAGTTGATTAGTGAATTCATTCATTCACAAAAATATTTACTGAGCGCCTGCTCTGTACACTGAAAGGAATTAGAAAATAGAGTGAAGGGGTGATCAAGATAGACTTAATTCCCTTCCTTTATAGTGGAGTCGACATTATAATTAGGAAGGCAGATAACAAATAATATGAAATAAAAATGTCACAACCTAAGTGCTATAAGGAATAAAACAGGAGGAGGAAGAGAGACTGATGGGGACATTTTAGAGGCGAGGAGACCTGAATGTATGGGACTCCCCAGGCTTGCACCCTTTGGGTCTGCCAATACTATTTTTTTTGTCAGCTTCATTGAGATGTAACTGATATAATATTGTCTGAGTTGAAGGTGTACAATATATAAATTTGTTACACTATAGTGAATACTAAATATCTTACAACACTGTCAATCAGGAGATGGGGGAGGCAAGCAGGTGGCTGGCAGCACTTCACCAGCATTGGGGTTTCAAGATCTTACCGGCCAGAGCAAAAGTAGACATCTCAAGGCTGCTGTGGGCAGATATATGCCTCCCAAAGAACCCCCAAGGACTACTCTGAGAAGCCCACAGCCTGCAAAGGGAACATGATATAGTTAGATTCAAATTCAACCAATAATTATTGAGGGCCTGCTCTGCACAATGCACTTGGCGACATTTCCATCCTATCATTTAACTAGTAGCCTGCCTATTCAGCCATGGAAATCTCATTGCTTAGAGCTATTCTTGAGGCACCCATATGCCCCGGGTTTGCCAAAACAGATCTGGGCCACAACTGTTGTCTCAGAGAAATTATTTATAGGGCTCCCTTTCACTCTCAAAAGTGTTTCAGTATAGACAATAAGTTACATGATCACCCAAGGGGTCCTGATCTATAGTAGATTGATAAACTCAAAGCTCTAGGGTGGTATAATTAGCCTTTGTTCCACAAGTATTTATCCAGTGCCTTCTGCATGTCAGATGCTATTAGGTCCTGGGAATGGAAAGATGAAGGCATGTTCTGTGCCCTGGAATACTACATTGTAACTGGTTGAAACATATACAGTACATAAACAAATGCAATAGACAGTGCAGTGACAGGTATGGAGATAAGGTGTAATGGGTGATGTGGGCATCAGTGGCTTGGCCTCCCTTGTGTGGTCCTTGTGCTGACCAAATAACTGGAAATGAAGCCACACTCCTTTACAGCATCATCGTTACCCAGAACTCAACGGGATCTTAAATATCTAACCTGGATTCATACGCCCCTTTCGCCACCTCTCCAGCCACCCCTTCCCATCTCCCTGACCTATAACTGCTGCCGTGCTCCAGCACGCATCTCCTGGACCTTTCCTTCTGCACACAGACCCCATCCTTGCATATCTCAGTCCCCAGTCCTCTCTCAATTCCAGCCATGAGTACAAAATCGTCATCAACATCTCACCCTGATAAACTTCTCAATCCTAACAGATCCAAAAGGTTTTCTTCACGTCACCGGCTTTCAAACTATAAACACCTTCTCATCTATGCCCCTCAGATGCCTTCTGGTTTAAGTAATTGGCAACTCCATTTGTCCGACTGTGCGGACAAACATTTTTGAAGTTGTCTTTGACTCCTGTTTCTCTGATGTCCCACGTCCAATCCCTGAGCAAATTCTTTTGGCTTTACCTTCAACATACATCGAGACTCTGTTTTCTTGTCACCAGCTGATGCTCTACTACCTGCTGGTGCAAGCTAGTGCAGTTTCTTGCTGTTTTACTCCAGAAGCCTCCCAAGGGGCCTCTCTGCCCTACCCCCACCCCCACTTGGGTGACTCTCAGTACAGCACTCGGTATTACCCTTTATAAGACAAGTTAGACCTGCCAGCAGCTCCCCACCTCCCTTTAAGTAAAAGCCCAAGTCCTTACCACACTGTCACAGTCCCTGCGCGCTGGCCTGGGATTACCTCTGACCCTCTTTCCCCCCATTTGTCTTTCATGTTCTTGCTATTCTTTGAACGTGTCCTTGCTGTTCCCTCACTCACCTTTTTCAGATGTTTGTTCAAATATCACACCAGTGAGGCTCTCCTTAATAATCCTATGTGTAGTTCCATCCCCTACCCCCCCCACCGTAC